TATATATATATATATATATATATATATATATATATATAAAAGAAGATGATGTGGTCTTGATTCGTGGAGTCATCCAAAATAGTGACACTTAAGTTAGTACCGAGATCTGTTTTTTTTTCTTTTTCCCATAATTCGGAGTTGAGGGTGTGTTTTTATATTTGATCTTAAAAAAATTAAATATCTGATAAAAATTTTATAAGAGAGATGGTTTATAACCAATCCGAGTTGTCCCCTAAACTCTCAAAAATATTCTTGTGAATATTTTACAACAAAGATAATTCATAATTGACCTGAGCTATCCCTGAGCTTTCGAGAATATTCGTGTAAATATTTCACAGGAGAGATAATTCGTAACTGACCTGAGCTACCTTGAACTTTCGTGGAGATAGTTCGAAACTGACCTGAGCTACCTTAAACTTTCAAAAATATTCCTATGAATATTTCGCATGGGAGATAATTTGGTAACTGACCTGAGTTGTTTCTTAGACTCATGTCGATGTGGATGTTAGATTGTCTAAGTTTTTTTTTTTTCTTCCGTAGACGTATTGAAGGATATATACTTGATTATATATTCATTATTAGTTGAAAAAAAATAGCATGAGTTTTTACATAAAAGACCTCAGCAAAAAAGAAAAAAAAAGTGGTAGGCCAACACGTGGCAAAATGGATATGGTTTAGGCCCACCAGAAGACAAATAAAATCTCTTATATGGACTACCGTATTATCCACGCTAAGGGTTCCTTGTGTGCTCAGCAACCTGTCTTATCCAGGAAAATAAAGACAACACACTTTTAATGATTCAGATACCACTTTACCCTTTCTCATCGATCATCAAGAAAAGTGTCATACTACCAAATTCAATTTGCACTGCCAACCACTGGGGAAAGCAGCAATTAATAGGGGGAAAAAGAAAAAGGAATGACAGCACAAAATTATACTTAACGAGGATGACTCATTCATTAGTACTGGTTTAATTGTAGGAACTCTGGTTCTTGGACAAACTTCTTATTTTGTTGGACATGGACAAATTTGACCGCTACCATAGCAGCAACATAAACAATGCAACGAAGAAATCCACACCTATTCCTAATTATGCTGCCCTTCGATACTCGGGGGCAACTACGTACATTCTCTAAATTATATTCATATGCAAAGAGTTAACCTCTTATCGAAGATGAATTAAAAAAATATTCAACAAGTAATTGATAGACAATGTAAATTATAAATATAGACTTCACAAGCTCTTAATGTGATGAAGGGTCCGAGGTAGTCCACCATAATCAAAAGTCCTCATAAGTACCCACATGATACTATTGCAGAATAAAACAACTGACCAACCCTGGATAGTATCTCAAAGGCTCATCCAACATGTGTCGCCTGAGTAACTTTAGATTATTGTATTAGCTGATACTTTGTTTCACTCTACGGAGTTAGAAACCCCCTAAATAGATGTCTAGATAGTCAATTTTTAGGCAAGTTTACATCTGCTTGACAATTGCACACAATGTGTGTTTACATGATTAAGATGCCCACAAAAACTAACAAAAATGGGTTTGTCAAGACTACTCAAGACTACTACAAGCCCTCTATATGTTGTGTAAAGGATGAAATCGAAGAACACGAATATACACAAACATTATATTGAATACCCTTTGTGTAGATTTATTTAAGACATTCTCATCCACTTATTCTATTGATGTCCTCATCGATACCTTTGCGAATGCTGCATCTCTTCACATTTATTGAATCTTCAATATTCTGCCTTAGCTACAACTCACCTCCCTTAGCTTCCAACTGCTCTGCGTTAATGTCATTGAGTAGTTAAACTTTGATCCGTCATTGTTACTTCAACTCGCCACGAACTCTAACTCAAGTATGGGGTCAATCGAGTTATGTTGAATTTTGTTGGTTCCCGTGGTGCGCGTGAAGAGGAGGTTTATGCAACGATTTAAGAAGTATCTTTGTAACCCCTATTGTGTGGATCACCGCTAGAGAGGATGACAGTTGACCTCCTTCATCCTCTCTCCCGGATTTGTAGGATTTCAAGGACATACGATCTCCCTAGGTAAAACACATCCCTTAACATGCATGGTTTTTTTGTTTTACAAGTTTTTACGTATCAATCTTCGTGCGATGACAAAAAAATATTTTCTGTAGAAATATGAGATTTTTATTTTTGTTATTCCGTTACGCATATGATGTTGTCCCAAGTTTCCCAACACATTCATTTGAATGTTAATCTCAAATACCTGCTCTTTTAAGCGACTCTTTTTCCTATGTCTCTATGTCCGTTTTCCTCAAACGATCACACATGCTAACTGCCCTCAACGTAATCTTGTTAAGCCCTTCACATTTGTATGTCAAGTGTTTTTAAGTATGTTTGTCCCGCTCTGATACTATTTATCACGAACTTAATTGGTTTTGTCTAAATCGTGCAACATGCTTGCATGTCCGTTCGGAAAAGATAAATCTCTCCAAAACCTCTTATGGTCTATTAAGAACTTGCAAAAGAGAAGACATGTTAAAAGAAACGTTTAACTCAGAATCCCATAAGTAGATATTTCAACAAATACTCGATAGACAATACAAATTATAAACATATACTTTATCAGCTTCGAACGATCATATGATAAAGAGCCCAAGGTGATCCACCGAGGCCAAAACTCCCACAAGTGCTTACATTATATTGCTACGGAACAATGCAACGAACCAATCTTGAACACCACCCTAAGGCTCATCCAGTCATGTGTCATCGGGGTAACTTGAAGATGTTGTGCTACATGATACTTTGCACCAGTGAAGTTAAAAAAACTCAAAATGATTATTATATGATTTATTTTTAAATATTTTTACTTCTGATCGCACATAACCTAAAATTACAGGTCTAAAACGACCATAAAGGTAATCGAAATGAAACTGTACCTATTACAAACCGTTTATATACTATACAAAAACATGAACAAAAAAAAAATATGTCAACATACACAATATCACATCAAACATACTTTATATAGATTTATTCGTGACAAAATATTCATCATCTTTTAATAATCCAGTATTGCAAGTCTCAAAATACCATATATTTCAGCGAACGGTGAACCCAAATGAAGGCCACCCAGCAACCGATTTATCTTCCTTATTTGCTTTAGTATGTACATTGTCTAAAGGAAGCACTGACATGATATTTAGCTTATAAAGTTAAGAGACAAGACCCCAGTTTCCTGCTTTATGTCAGGATCATGTACTTACTAGTCGCAGGAACGGAAACAATAAGCTGTACATACGAATGACTTTACCAGAAGAAATCATCAACGCCCACCGAAGACGATGGAGATGGATCATCTTCCTCTTCCATCTCCACCTCTGGTTCTGATGCAAACTCCGGAGAATCAATGTCAGAAAGGTTCTTTAGGTCGATGACTGATATCTCATCCAGGCGCCTCACCAAAAGGTCAGCTGCACGGAGTTCATAAACCGGGTGTTTACTTGCAACTGCCACACACTTCATACGGGCATCATGCGCTGCCTCCACAGTTGAATTAGAATTTCCAAACACGATGCACCGCTCCGGTATAAAATTAAGGAGCTGTGCAGCATAAACAAACATCTCCGGATCAGGTTTTCCTCTATACACATCCTCCGCTGCCACTATCACTTCAAAGAAGCTTCGCACACCGACAGCCTCAATTGCCTCCTGGAGAATCTTCCACGGTCGTGTGGACACCACAGCAAGTGGAATCTTGTGATTTGCAAGAGTAGTCATGAACTCCCGAGACCCACATCGGAGCTGATAGCATCCACCATTTCTTAGGCTTTGATGTATTTCCTCCTTCCGTGAGGCCAATCGTCTAAGCTCCGTAGAGTCTCGTGACCAGCAAAGAACCTCAGAGATTGCTTGCTCGTTCTTCATTCCTTCAATTCTCTTCAAAACAAAGGCCAGGGGTGGCGATCTTCCCTCTTCTCGAGATAACACCACCCAGGCTTGCTTCTCCAACTCAGGGTCATCTTCCACAATCACTCCTTCCAATTCAAGGATCACAGTGAACCACCCACAACCCATTCTTTTTTGACGGAGCAGCGGGTTGTGAATCATCGGGTCATCAGCCTTGTTCGCAGGAGGCCACAATCTACCAGGGCTTAGGCCTGTTGCATCAGTTGTGTAATCGAGATCATGAGCAATCCTCCGCCAGTCTTCTTTTGAAGGGTTCTTTTCCTTTGTCAGCTCCATCGCCAATGACCTGATGGTCGAACCAATTAACCGGTTGCATCGTTGCCTGGGAGTCGCAATGGAAGTAGAAGGGCCGATCGACAACCGCTGCCCCATAAATTCTGTGACGAGCAGGCTGCAGAAGTCGATCCGCCGCTTAAAGTTAACTTCTTTGGGAAAGGGCCTTCGGTCGAACAGGTGGTGACCGACAAGGGATGTGCTCACGCCGATGGTATCAACCATTGCGAAAAATTGGATTCTGCAAATGTAGCGAGATTAACCCTTTTGCTCCAAATAGTCCATAAAAAAAACAAGCAGCTTTTGGGACTAAAAGCCAAGCAACTTTTAGGGCCGAAACCAAACTCTTATCCGAAATAATCTGCAAGAAAGTTGCTTTATGCTTCAAATACTTCGATATATCTTAAATTCCTATATTGGCCTTCTTTCTCAATGAACTATCAAATCAAACCACACGGTTTGCTGAAGAAACGAAAAGATAAAAAGAAGAAAAATGGATCGATAAGGGAATTTTGGAAAACAGCAAAACTAACGATATATAATAAAAATCCAGAAAGCAATTTGGGAATTACAGCAAGACAATCCCCGAAAGTAAATGTAAATCGCCCCCAAGAACATCAAGCAATTGTGCAACAGAAACGAAAGCAGATCCTCGATTCTTCCGATCTACTTATTCGATCCGAATGGAACGATGAGGAGAAGGAGATTACCTGAAGAGGGACCGGGAACTTCGATGAGGGTCGGACGCCGGCGAGCGGGGGACGATCACCGCGGAGAAGAGCCGAAGAAGAAGGAAGCGGAGATCGGGGAGTTCCGTGCCGTCCTCGAGTTATTATTCGGCTCCTGCACGCACGTGGGAAGTCACACTGCTGCGTCGGTCGTCGCGGCTGACCCGAACGGACACGCGTCCGGAAAGACAAGGTATGAGACGGTGTGGTATCTCATCAGCTTTTGTGAGAGTTGCAGCTTTGCAACGTGCTGCTCATTCGTTACGTTCTACGAAACATAGAAAATTCTCTGTTTTTGGCAAAAAAATAAATATGTAATTGATAAGATAATAATCATATTAAATACAAATTGTCTCCCTATATAATATATATATATTTATTTATTTATTTACTGGTTTAGCTGGATTGGAACTTTCATACATGCATGGCAATAGACAACCAACCTTGTAGTGTTGATGAACCTGTTAGGTTCATTCGGACATTTAAGGCAAGAACACAACTCTTCGCTGAGAGAGAAATGATAAGACGGAGGAACAGATTCATACTCTCTCTTGGCTGCTTCAGTCGCCAGATTCGACTTCCCATCTCTTGGCGTTGCAGCTCGCATCATTGCACAGGTCCAAACGTCCTGAGAACCAGAGAAGCTTTTGGATCGAGTCTCAGTCATGATGAGCATATGGTTGGTCCTCCGCGGCGACTAGCGTATGAGGAAGCGTGTCGGCATGAACTGCTCAATGACCGAAGAGCTGCAACGCCAGCCATTCAACACTTTCGGGTGTTTGATTCCTGCACGCGTTTCACAATGGCAAATCATGCTGCCATCTCAAAACACCTTAACAGATGTAGGACATGCATTCCAACGAGAAGAATACAAATCAAAATAAGATCATATTTAATGGCTTAAGCTTGACATCGATCAAATTTTAAAATGATGTATCACAGAGGATGATACATGATCGTAGTTCAATGATCACAAACAGTGTACAAAAAAGCATTCTTCTTTCTTGCCATTGCCAACTACATTTGGGAGCTTGACATTATAAGGACTTACTACCTTCAGTTCTGTCACATTACTACCTTCAGTTCCTGTCCCAACTATTTGAGATCAATTTAGATTATGAGTATTTGTTTCTACTTAGGTCGTTCTCTCTCTTATCAGACCACAAATAATAATTGCTTAACATCTTTAGACTGCAAGCATATATCTATACCTCATCTTATCCTCATACAATTTATATTTCCTTTCATGAATAAATATATTTCTTTCATCTCGTTTATTAGAAATGATAACTCTATCATGCTCTTAAATACTATTTGCATTTGAGGAAGAAAACATTCAACATTGAGCATGTGAAAAACATCACAAATACAAGAACTGATGATATTGTAGTACGAGGGACTAAACAAGATAATGCAACAACAATACTGAAGAAAGAATTTAAGTTTATTATAGGTCTATTCTTGAGGGACATACCAACAAACCCTAATTTTAGTAAACAAAAAACAAGGGACTTGCATGGTCATGAAGTTTGTTGTCATAAATGGATCCAAATCCTTTTTGATATAATATCTAATTGTTTAATCACGTAATTCTTATGTGGTGTGTCACATGTCTTTCCGAGAAAGGAATATAATTATGATTTAGCAGGAGTTGCGTAACTAAAATGATGCTAAATGAATGGTTCTTTTGAGTAGCTATCCATTTTGGATGATGCGCGTACTTGTACGATTTTATCCTTTTGAAATATGTAAGCTTCAAAAAGCATCTATGAAGATAAGGGAGATTCGATGAAATCATGAGCTTTTAATTTTCATAAATCTCAACTAATATAAGACTAAATGGTCTTATCGGAAAGCACATATGAGTAAAATGAAACGAGTAAGGTCACTAGACCAAAGATTTACTAGTATTCCTATCTAAAGAAGAAGAAAAAGTTTATTATAGGTTTATTCTTGAGAGGGACATATCAACAAATCCTAATTTTAATGAATAGAAAACAAGGGACTTTCATGAAGTTTGCATTAAGGTGTGACTTTACAACCAATATGACTGAGACATGATGTTGTCATAAATGCTGCATTGGGATCCAAATCCTTTTTGATATAATATCTAATTGTTTGACCAAGTAATTCTTATGTAGCGTGTCACACATCTTTCCGAAGTAGGAATATGATTATAATTTAGTAGAAGTTGCATAGCTAAAATGATGCTGAATAAATGGCTCCTTTCAGTAGCTATCTGTTTTGGACGATGAGCGTACTTATACGATTTTATCCTTTCGAAATATGTAAGCTTCAAAAGGTATCTATGAAGACGAGGGAGATCAGATGAAATTATGAGTCTTTGATTTTCGTACATCTCAATTAATAAGGGACTAAATAGAAAGCTCCTCGTATCTAAAGTAGAAGAGGACATAGAATTTACAAGGTCAGATGAACTAACCAACCTATTGGTAATAAAACAGATGACTACAGTACTGATGAACACATACCGTCACTGGAAGTTGATGTGGTGCACAAGGGGCTATAAATAGCCTGGACGAGGTTCTTCGATCAGTTTGGAGACTCACTCCCGCTCTTTTCCCGCCCACCCAGCGTCAGCGATGAAGCCCTCCGTCCCCAAAACCCCGAGATGACCTCCGAGCCCAGCGAGCCATGGGGGCGGCCCAAGGAAACTTCTCGTCCTCTAAGCGATTCCTTGCTTCACCCGGTCTCCTCTTTCCCTTCTCTCGCTGTTCGTCCCGAAGTGATTGAGCTTTGTCTTCTCAGCCGTTCTGGGGAAGATGATTCCCACCGATTCTCAAGATCTGGTCCATTCCTCGCCGGAGGCAAATAGCATCGTCGAAGATCCACCGGTTGTGAGATCGAGATCATAATCTTTGTTCGGTTATTCAATGCTAAGCAGAGAACTCCGATATCGCCGCCCTTGCCGCTTCCTTGAGGTGGAGGAACACGGATAACACAGATCCGACGAGATCTCCTGAAGAAGGCAGCGGCACAGGAGGAGGAGGAGGAGACCAATCAATTTGGTGGATCGGCTACGAGAGGCTCTTCTCGACGTGAGGGAGCCGACGGTTGCGAGTGAGTTGGGGATCGGGGATGTTGGCGATGATCCGTGTGACGAAAATGGACGGCAGGATTCGACACTTCTGGCCGAGAGTACGGATCGTGATCGTTCGTTTCCTGATCGTGTTGGTGCCGCTCACGGAGCTCGGCGGTGTTGATCCGATTTCTTCGGCCTGCCTTCCCCTACTTGAAGTTGAAGGTAACCTAGCACGTCGTCTCCACCGTATGATGTACGTACATACTTCCTCTACTTTCTTATGCTGTACTCTTGTCTAGTCTACGATGTACATGTTTCCGTTTTCTTCTTTCTTGGATCAGTCTCCGTAACGGAAGCACTAAGTAGTTTCGAACTAAGACTTTCCTCTTCCGTTATGCTTGCAGTTATAGGAGTGAAGACCTTTAAGCTGCGTTGCAGACTTGCTGCTGGTGCTGCGGTACATGATTGCAACGAGATGAGGTAACACTGTGGACTTAATATATGTGGCATTCGCCGAAAACGTTGTGATATTGGGATTTTAATGGAACTACCGATGCTTATCGGTGGTCGCATTTGTCCCAAAAATATTACGTGGTACAATAACATAAAATCATGCTACAATTATAGATTTTTTTAATTAATCGTCTTAAAATCTTAGACTCGAATCCCATCTTAATCATTTTATTTTAAAAAAATACTTAAATTGCTCAAACTTTATCTTATATGAACAAAATGTTATGAGAATCAAGTGATGATTTCTTAAAAAATGAATAACAAGATAGAGGCCTCTTGATAAGTATAAGAAATATATTTGATAGTGATGTACAAAGGTTAAGAATTTAAAATATCATTCAATAAATTTTAAAAATATCAATCGGCTTAATTAGTAAGAAGTTTTATGGTGGATAGTAAGATATTGAGATCAAATATATCATTGTAACATTCTATCGTTTTTAAAAAAAATAAGATTTTAAGAATGATATGCATGATTTTGGGAATTCTATGTAAAAGATTGAAGCACATGATAATAACAACAACAAATATACATGATATAACATATTTTTTTCTCTTGGATTTAAGCTATACATGTGGAATTAGTAACTTCGAAACATTGCGCCATACAAGAAAAAACAAGATAGAGATGAGCTCATAACCACATCAGCATCAAATCTTAACGGTTTGATCCTTGAAAAGGTCTGATCTAGAGAATGTTCTCCCCAATAAAATATGGATAAAGAAACATGTATAAATAGATATTATTAAATTTAAACTCACTTTAAAATTTTTGATTAACTTGAGCATTGAATAAGCCTTATCTTAAGTGGTTACTATTTAAACCTCTTTTTATTATTCATAACTCCTTTACCATTTATTTTTTAAAACAATAAAATAATAATTTATTATTCACAACAATTTTATTTTCATTTTTATCCTCTTCTTTCCTTTTTTTTTTTTCTTCCCTACAGCCCTCGCCTGTTGCCAACACTCCTCACTCAAAAGATGATATATTCTAGGCTTTTTCAAATCATCCTGAAAAATATCATTTTCTGAATATTTTACAATGCTAAGAGGATACTCTAAACAATTTGCAAAAGTCATATTCATGACATCCTTTACGTTAATATAACTAATCCAAAAAATGATGTCTTCTAAGTTATTATAGAATATATAACTTTAAAAATGTAATACATTTTATGGATTGAACATTTATATCATTAATTTTTACTAACATATGAATAAAAGAAAATAGTTAATATTATATTTTTATATATTAAAAATAGAATATTTAAAATATTGATCCAAACATTCTATAATTGTCCGAAAGATGATATATTTGGTATTTTCAAATCGCCAAAGAAGAGGCCATATTTATAGTATTTTATAAATTCCTATAAGATAATACTCTGGGTAGTTTGTAGAGGCTAAGAATATAATCTCTTATGGGTCAATCTTACTAATCGAAAAGGTGATATTTTTGAGTTATTATAAATCTATATTATTGTAAAAATATTAAATCATATAAATAAATATAAAAAATATTTCTTGCCTCCTCCTTTTTTATTTTTAGATCATCTTATTTTACCATTTAGTTTTCCTATTATTTTACGTCACTTCCAACGACTGGGAAGAGAAGTAAGAGAGGAGGAGAAGAAAAATGAGAAGAAAGAAAAAAAGAGAAAAAAAAAGGTTCGGAAGGAGTGAAAAAAATTTATTAGTATTAGTATTAAATTATATATATATATATATATATATATATATA